GTTCTGCATTCTTTTCTCCCTTCCAACCAACTGGAACCTAGCCATGGCAGTGACCCAGCTTTCATCGCACAGATGTTAACCATGTTCCATGACAGTGTTTCCAGTGTGTGCTCTTGAGACCCCTGGGGACTGCTGAGGCCCTTTCAGGATGGCTACAGGTCAGAACTATTTCCATATTAACACTAAGAAATTATGTGTCTTTTTCACTGCTGTTCTCTCACAAATATGCAATGGAGTTTTCCATGTTTACATGAAGTGTGATATCACAGCAGCTGGAATGCAAAAGCAGGCTAAGAATCCAGCTCTCTTCTACTAATCTAGAAATTAAAGAGGTTTTTAAAAGTGTAAAGGCAATGCCTCTCTTATTGCTGTTATTTTTTGATTTGGAAAATATGGTTGTTTTTCATAAAAATGTGTTATTTATGTTACCTGTATGGATTTATTGTTATTGTAAGATAAATTATTAAATATTTTAAAATTTGTTTCAGCTTCCTATATGGTAAATATCAAGAAATAGGGCTCATGTAAATGAAAGCTTTTTGAGACCTTTGATAATTGTTAAAAGTGTAAAGGGGTCTATGACCAAAGAATTTGAGAACTATTGCCCTAGGGGTTGGAGGAGCAACGACTTGGAAAGAACCTGCGGCATTTCTGAGTGAACGTGAGGACTGAAACTGCCCTGCTCTTACTCCCAGTGAGGCTGTTACATACAAGAGAAGTAAGTTTCTGTGTTATGTCACTCTATCATTTCATTATGGCATCTTGTATTTACCCTGAATTTTATATATATATATATATATATATATATAAACAATAGTCATACAAGTGGGACATTACTATATATAAAACTAAAATATGTGGCATTAGTTTGCGTGAGTAGTAAGGGCTCATACATTTTAGGCAAGAAAGTGGATAACCCTTGTTACATCACTGCAAAATATTCAGTACAACTACTACTTGTGATAACTTGGAAGGCAGGTGATGTTCCTATGGAGCCCATAGCTAGCGAAGAAGTGGTTCGAAAGAGCTAGAATGTTAGTTTGTGTCGACTGTTCTCTGTTGCATTTAACAGCATATTACTATAGGTAAACTCAAGAAAAAATTGACCATTTATAAGCAGATAAAGAATAAAGAAAGGCTGAAAATGCAAACTGCTTATGTACCGCCAAACAAAAGAGACAAAGCTATTATTGCTCAAAGGACTCCCATTAAACTCTCTTCGACTTCCAAAAAAAAAAAAATGAACCAGCCCTGAGTTAAAACCCAGACTATGTTTTTTTTTTTTAATGTGGCCTCAAGGTAACTGCTATCAAAATGAGAAAACAAAGAAAGAAAGTGGTTTCACTACTATATCCAAGAAAGAACTTCAGGTGTAGTTACCTATGGAACTAAGTGGACACAAAAGAGAAGACGCCTACCATATTTTTGAGGAAATGGTTTTACCCAAGTAACCAAAACCTTATATTTTTTCAAAAAATAGCTCCCAAGGAGTACAATCACCAACACGCCACTTTGATGGGGCTATGCAGGACAACGGGTGACAGGAAAAACTTCTCGAAGGGCCAGGGGCCTCAGAGGAGAATAGACAGAGTTACTCCATGAGAGAGAAGCAGGAGTTGCTAATGGACTGGCCCCGGAAATCACTCCACGGCCCAGGCAAGGACGCTCTGCCATCCCTGCCTCACACCATTTGTTATTTGCTTTGGCTCAGTGACTACTATGTACAGGGTGGGGGAAAAGTAGGCTTATAGTTGTCTGTATGGAAAATAATACAATGATTAATAAGTAATTATAGAAGAATAAACACTTTGTTTCATGTACTCAAAACCGTCAACCTATTTTTGCCCATCCTGTATATTGCCAAACTTCCCTTTTTCCAACAGGAGCCTTTATTTCACTCTTCCTGGTCTTGTTCTTTTCCTGTTTATTGATGGCAGGAAGGGAAGACAAGTTGGTGTTTAGTTTATAGGTGGCTGAGTATGAGGAGTTGAACTGGGACCGAATAGGGAGAACTGAACTGCACATCAAATAAGGAACAGGCAAATGGCAGAGTTGTGAGGGACAAGGTATGAGACTGGGGCTGTTCCTGACTTGCATCCTTTATAATAAACTGATAAATATGAGTGTTTTCCCCGAGTTCTGTGTATTGTTCTACCGAGTTATTGAAACTGAAGAGGGCGCTGTGGGAATCCCTGAATTCATAGCTGGTTGGGCAGAAGTGTGGGTGGCCCCCGAGACTGGTGAATGATGTCTGAAGTGGGGGCAGTCTTGTGGGACCTGTGGGGCCTGTGCAAACTCTGAATAGTGTCAGGGTTGAAGTCAGTTCTTGGGCACCTGGTTGGTGCTGGAGAACCGGAGAATTGGTGTGGGACATCGCACACATTTGGTGTCAGAAATGGTGCCAGAAAGAAACAATACCCCAGGAGCTTAACTGCACAGACCTTGTGGGACCCTAACACTTAGCTTTACATAAACACTTCAGCTTTGCTTCCCTACCCTCCGAACTCCTGCAGTCAGCAATGGAGGCATTGACCTCAGGTATCATGGTACTGCCCACAGTGACCAAGAACCTTTAGGCTGCCATGATGCCAACTTAAGAAGATGTTAAATCGATCTTCTCCAGACCCACAGTATAGCTGAGGATAGCAAATCAAGTGACTGCACATTCTAAAGAGAGATACCAGATGATCCTATAGATCTTGCCAACGGGGGTCCCCAAACCACTTTTGTGACTCTTGGCCCATCACTGTGTCCTGGCTGTATCAGAGAAGCAGAGATTGATCAGGGATCCAGAGAGAGTTCCTGAAGAGTTATATATTTTCAGCCTCTTTTCTCCTACCTGCTCCATTATAGGCTACATCAGGAAGAATTTCAGGATTCTGAGATGTCACTTTAGGTTTCTGAGCTTGAACCAGGCCCAAGCTGAGGATAGCAGAGATATATTAAATTGAATGAGACATTAAAGTCTTGATTTAGGTTAAACAGAGCTTTTTTTTTTTTTAATTAATTTTCCCCCAGCTTTTTTGGGACATAATTGGGGAATGGGCTTTTTCATACCTGAAAATGAGATCATCTGTTAATGTTTTTAAATAAGAAAAGTGATGGGCTCTCCCTCAGCCATTATGCAGAGGAGGAGAGGGAGCCACAATATAGAACGTTTGAAAGGCAACAGAGAGAATCAAATAGTGTTTTATTCCTGTGCTCGCCAAGTGTATCTCACTCAATACATGGGGTGGGGACCAGATTTGGACAGGAATGCCTGTCCGCCGGGCTGGCATGCCTCCACCAGTAGCCAAGAATCATAGGGAATGGCTGCCATAGCATTTTCAATAGCCATGCCATGTGGCAACAATAGCAACAAAACAACATATTTTTCTAGTATTCTCTCTTCAAGGGGAGAGCAATCAGAGCCAAGCCTTTAAACTGAGTAAGCACCAGAGGTTCTGGACTAACTGTGGGAGGAGGAAACCTGAGGAGGGGAGAGAGATGCTACAGCACAATAGGTGTCCCAATACAGTGATATGGAAGACTCAAAGAAAGGCTTTATGAGGCTACCTTCTGGCCTTAAACTCCGTAACTCCACACTTCTCTCATATGGGAATAAATTTACATCTTATTTGACTTAATCCTCTCTGATACAATATCTGTAATATGTTAAATGCTTCTTTAAGTAAGTACAAAAAAGATAAACAAGTCTGTAGAAATACAAAGGAAAGCCAGTAATTCATAAAAGAAAGAAATACGAATGGGCACTAAGTATCTGAAAATATACATAACCTAAGTAGTAACTCAAGACATGTAAATTTGAAAAATGAAATACCATTTCTTACATATTAGGTTGACAAAAATTTTAAATATGAACTATATCTGGTTAAAAATAAAAATTATATCTGGAAGACACAAAGTCTCTCAATCAATGTTGATGGGAAAGACTTGGAAAGTCTTTGGAAAGACTTGGAAAGACTTTGCAGGACAGTGTGGAAATAACTACAAAGATTAAAAATGCATTTGTATGTGAATATGTGTACATATGTGCACATGGTTATATAAGCGTGCAATGCACAGAAAAAAGGCCTGGAATATATATAAACAGCTTAATAGTGTTTTTATCAGGAGAGGAGGGTCAGTGGAATGGAAGAAAGATATTAATGAAATTTCACTATTTATACCAGTACTTAAAATTTTTATAACCATACAATATTTTCTAATTAAATATTTCAAATAAAAAATTAGTTATACTAGCTTTTCAAAGGTTAAGTAGATATGGAAAGTGTTTTCATTGATTTATTTCCCTTTAAAATAGATGTGTTAGGTACACAGCAGGCATAATCTACTCAATTTTGAGTAAATCTTGGTAACCTGAACCCTACTTTGTTATAGTGAGGCAGTTTATTATTTCACAACCCAAGTAAGGGGGGCTTCTTTAATTGGTAACAATGCAAATACAAGTGATATTTTATATCCCTGGGCAGTAGTAAATAAAGCTTGTTTTTAGTAATTAAATAGTATTAAAAATACAATTTTAGGGATTTGAAATAAAGGTTAAGGAGATTAGAGTTTTTAATAAAAATAATTCTATTATTAGTTTTGGTCTTTTCTTTTTAGCAGAGACTGTCTTGAGTTTTTAAGCTTGTGTGCCAAGGAAATGACCTTTTGCCACCTCCTACTGAAGTCCTTGCCTGTTTTCAGACCAGAACTCATTCCAAGTAACAGCAGGTCTTCCAAGAAATCTTTCTTTAAAAAGCTCAAAGTTTTAAGTAAAAAGTAGGTCATTTAAAATATAAGGAGCCCTGATTGAGTGTGGGCCTGTGAAACAAAGGGTCACTGGTTCGATTCCCAGTCAGGGCACAGGCCTGGGTTGCAGGCCAGACCCCCAGTAAGGGGCACTCGAAAGGCAACCACACATTGATGTTTCTCTCCTTTTCTCCTTCCCTTCCCCTCTCTCTAAAAATAAATAAATTTGAAAATAAATAAAATAAAATATAAGGAGACATTCTTACTTGGTCCTCAAAAGACAGAGCCTGGGCAACATCTCTTGGAAACCCATCAATAACAATGCCCTCTTCATCAGGAATCTGCATCAATTTTTGTTTTATCTCTGTAATTGTTGTTTCCTTTTGTAAAGAAAATAAGATGAAAAACCACAGTTAAACTTAGTATACTCACAACTGGTATAAAAACTACAGAATTATTTTTTTAAAAAAGCAAATTACAGAGCAGTACCTGTGGGGCTAATTCTCCAGTTGTAATTATTTTGGCAATAAGACTCCATTTCCTGTTGCTGCTGGCACTATGGATCTTCTTTCTTAATAATTCTCCCACTGAAATGTATTGAAATCCATAGCGCTCTGCGATTTTCAAACTCTGAGTACCCTTTCCACTTCCTGGACCACCTAGCATTTGAAATAGGCAAAACTGTGAGCTTCTCATACAAAGAGGCTCCCTTTTATACAACAACTACCTTCATCTTGAGATGCAGCTTCTAGACCAACAGCACAAGGGCGGGTAACTGTCCCACTTGTGACATTCCCAACCCGACTCCTGAATGCAGAGCAAGTGTAGATTAACCAAGGAGAGCAGAGAACTGTCGTGATCAACTACATTAGACAAAAGAGACAGCTTTTCCTTGCAGTTGAAAAAAACCTTCACTAGTTTTCTATGTAAACACTCACATTTTCCTCATAAACAACTACGTCATACAAAGGACAATGAAGTAACAGACACATGTTTCATGTCAGCAGAGTTAGTGTGCAATATAGTGAAATACAACAATTATTTTTGACAAAGGCAGATCAATATTGGCATGACTTATCTAAATTTTTTGAACTTTTTCTGTTCATGCATGTCCTTGCCTTATCTCCTTTAAGTTCAAAGGAATTTTTACGCAGTAAATATTCAGAATGAATAAAATAGATCCTTCAGGTAGAACAATTTTACAAAACTCATGATAATTTTGATGTTGTGATACATTACAGTGAAATAATCAAGACTTTGCAATGTAACTCAATACTAATCATTGGTAGTTATTTATTTTTAAAAACATAAGTACTAAAATAATTATAAATATAGGGCTCAGATTTTACATCCAAATCATATTAGATTATTTTAGTTAATTTATATTTCTAAATAACCTAAATGAATAGGAATCTAAAGTCTGAACTAATTTCAAAATAAAGCACAGAGCAACCAGTCCACTCTGATTTATTTGCTGATAATTATCAAAATGAAATGTTTTCAAATACTTGAGCATAAATTACTGACTGTAAACAAAATCTCATTAAATGTTGATGTCTAATAAAATGCTTTGGTAATACTCACTGAAATATAATTGTAATGTATTAAGCAATGTTGAAAATAAAAATTCAATAGAAAAGTGAGTTGAAGTTCTACCTACTAATTCAAAATGCTAAGTGTTTTTGCATGTAAGTAATTTTATATATAATTATTTGGGAAATTTTTTATTCTTGTTGCAAATAATGTAAGTAAAAAACAGGTGTTTTGTTCTGTTTTTTACAAGGAGGGTTCCAACTGGGTAGAATTAGTCAGCCAGGGCTTATTTCCTCACTAAAAATGTAATGTGCAGGGATCTAAAATCAACTAATATAATGAGATCCATTTCTTAACCTCAATCCCAGATAATGTACCTAACAATATCTGGCTTTTACCTTTTTTATTTCTTTATTCAATTTAGGATAGGGATTTGTTTACATTTTTGATCATTCTCTTTCTAAGAACCTCTAAATTCTATCCTAGTAATTTAATGTTATGTACTATTACCAGATTAAATTAATTACTTTGAAAATCAGAAGTTAGTTTTGGTTCTAAATAGCTGCTTTTAGCCTATTAACCTATGGGCAAATTATGGATTGGCTTGAAGAAAAAAAATTATATGATCACTCCATCAAAAAGTTTAAACTGATTTAATCCCTGAAAAATAAGTTACTTTTTCTAAGCTGTATTTTCACCCTTAATCTCACAAACCATCAAACTATTATAAAGTCCACTGAATTAAAAAAATTAAACACTAAGAAAGTTATAGCATTTCAGAGAAAAAAATAGGTTTTTTGTCAACTAATAGAAGCAATAGCAGACAACAACAAAAAATTGATTGGTATTATTGACAGAGAATAGCATTAATTTATTGGATGAATTTGGCTACTTATTTATTTTTTAAAATATTTTATTTATTTATTTTTTAGAGGGGAGAAGGGAGGGAGAAAGAGGGGGAGAGAAACATCGATGTATGGTTGCTTCTTGCTCGCCTCCTACTGGGGACCTGGACCACAACCCAGGCACGTGCCCTGACTGGGAATTGAACCAACAACCCTTTTATTTGCAGGCCAGCAATCAACCACTGAGCCACACCAGCCAGCGCTACTTATTTATTCTTAAAAATTAATTTTACTTTCTTCTCTCTGAACTCAGAGTGAGCTTAAATTTTGTTCTATTTGTTTATCTCTAATACTTATAAATATTAGGATCCATCTAACTCTTAGATTTTATGATGACATTAACATAAGAGAGATTAATATCTGTACCAAGAATGGTTCCTTAAAAAAAAGTTCTGTATCTTCAGAAGGGAAATTTTGTTTATTTGGATGTAACAACATGTAAGTATCTATACCTCCCCCACCAGTTTTCCAGGTTGGAAAGTAAAAATTTATAAGGTTCAGGAACAATTATTTTATAATTCCTCGAAAGTCATAAAATGGCTCCATTTTTTTAAAATGACCTAACTTCTGGGTTTTCCTTTCTTTTTTTATCTCAGTCTTCTAAAAGTTATTTATAATCATTGGTATATTAGTCTTGTAATACATAAAATGTTGCAACATAGCATGCCAGTCTAAAACCAAAAATCACACCCTTGGAATGCAAGTTGATTTTACTGACTAAAAAAAAAACTCTTAGGTGGAGGAGATTTGAGCATTTATGTCTTCTCCAAAGATCTTGGTTTACTGAAATATTTTAATAATTTTTATATAAAATTCCCACTCACAAAACATTTGCCTATGGACTGTTTTACACGAAAGCAATTTGGTATTACACTTTTTTTATGGTCAATCAAGCCTCCTTTGTTCATTCCATTAATAATCATTTCATTATAAATGGTAAAATAATTTCCAAATATTCTGTCACTCTTCTAATAAAGCATTTCTTTGTCTTACAATTAAGGATCTCAAAATTTTAAATACACTCATGCAAATTCCAATTTTAAGAATAGAGAGAAGTTTATGACATGAGGGACTCCATACACTATATAAATATTTTGACTTTTGGAAAGTTGATTTCTCTATTTCCTTTCTATCATATTATTTTAAACAATTCAGGGTTAAATACGTTTGCAATTCCATTTTAATCACACTTAGGATATACAAATGTCACTCTTCCTACTCTGGTGAACTTAAATTCTTGTTATAGCTTGCTATGTTTATTTGCATGCTTCTTTCCTAGTTGCCATGATCGTTAGAGTTTCTAGGAGCAGTTCTTTGCACAAAGGCTATATACATTTTGCCCTCTCTTAACACTTTCTGGCTAGAATAGCTTTGAGTATTTCCATTTGATTTTTGCTTTCAGTAATCTCTGTGTAGGCCTAGTCAAACTGGAAAGTGAGACAATAGCTACATATATTTCATGTTCACAGGTCTTTTCATATTTTTTTATAGATTTTGAGGAAATTAAAATTTGCAAGAGTGGTCAAAAAATGCATTCTGGAAAAAATACTTAAAACATTTTCAATATCTATTCTTCATGAAATGCCATCAGACTGATATCTCTATATTCAACATAAGATTCATAGTGGCAGTTAAAAAATTAACCATTATCTTTAATTTTTTATTAAATCTCATGTTATGTGCTGTGTAAAACACTACTCTTTGAGATATGCTTTTCTAGTAACATCAAAACTTACATTTTATTGTAGTTGCCAGTTTGCCATAAGGAAGATTCATTTATGAGTCTTTACTAACTTATTATGATTATTATTGTTCCCTCTAAAGTTAATATTGAATAAATATTAAATTTGTTGAGTTAAAGGGAAAAAACATATCATGTTGAGAAAATTTCTAATAAATTCAGTTATCTATGTTAAAAATTAGACAAAACCACAAGACAAAAATTTTTTGAAGGGGTTAGCACTTACTTTCAATTCATTATATAGAAACATGACACTCTAATGGATTCTATGAAAGTACAATAGCATTAGATGGTACAATTATAACAACTTCTGTTTAATTGAAAATTATGCTAAAATATTTCCATCTACTTATTTCTTGAGCTTTTGTTTCTATTGTAATTTTTTATCCACTATGTATTTGCAAATGTGATACATAATTGACACAAGTTTTTGAAATGTAAATATATAAATGAAGGTACAGATAGTATGAGAATTTTGCTTTCTGTCCTCATACCTATGACAAGAATGATTTTTGGTCGAGGTCTAGTAGGATCGAAAACCTCGTACTCCTCAATTAACTCTGCAGTCTCGGAGAGGTCCGTGTCACTCTCTATGGAGAATTGATGGATTGGAGGGAGTCGATCATACCGCCGATATGGAAAATTTGAATTTTCAGGCATTACTGCAAAAAAGTAAGATAACTTTGAAATGGAAAAAATAATAGCAGAACGAAACTTTCTTGCACTTACTCAATTAGTAGAAAACATTTAAAAACTAAATGAGTTTGATTTTTTTCAGCTTGAGGAAGACCCCACCTCATAAGTGGTCAGCAAACCTTTCTTTAATGGGTCAGGTAGTCCATAGTTTGGGCTTTGAGGAACACGCAGTCTTAGACTCAACTTGGCCACAGTAGTGGGAATGTCTATTGTCATAGACAATATACAGGGTAGGGCAGAAGTAGGTTGACATTGTTTGTATGAAAAATAATTAATAATTAATAATCCAAGAGCAAGCTTCGTGTTGTACATACTTACAGCTGTAAACCTACTTTTGTCACATTCTGTGTAAACAAATGGATGTACTTATGTTCCAATAAAACCTTATTTATAAAAACAGGCAGTGGGCCAGAGTTGGCCCATGGGTCATGGTTTGCCACCCTTGGCCTGAAGGAACCTTCTTAAGTACTGCCTAGTCTTGCTTGGTCATTTTTATACATCCTGGTCTCTGCAAATGACACTCCCTGGACTTGTGTAATGCACACCCATCACAACTTTCACAACCACATGTAGCTCCCCAAGGAGTCAATGCTTATGCATAATATATTTCATTTATTTAATAAATATAGACACACAATCACTATGATCCAGGCATTCTAATGTAGTCCAGTGGAATGGCTTGGTGGCATAGTACACAAAAACTTAGGGCACTGTTATAAGACAGGTAAAATGGTAGCAAACAATTTCTACTGATATTGAATTTCTACTGATATTTAGAATATCTTTCAATATCAGAGAATTTTACTTTCCCAATATTGATTATCATTAACTTCCTTGATTTATAAATGAGACTGAAGATTTAAGATTATATCTACAATGGCAGAAGTTCAATGAATGGGTAGATCCATTTGGGTTGGAGTGGTAGGAAAGGACTTGCAAAAGAGGCATGGCCTGAACTTTGAAAGACAAGTATATCTCAGTTGGTAGAAACAAAACCCAAAGACTCAGAGTCAGAAATACAAATGAAATATTCAAAAGGACCACCAGAGAGAGCTGGGAAGTCCAAGTCAGGCAGATGATCTTAACCAATTGTCTATACATATAATTTTGGCTCCCTCCTTCCTCACCCCATGTGTCAGTGTTCTAGGAGGCACAGAGAAGCCCTAATTACCCAAAGACACCTGCACAAAGGAGACAGAAGGACACCTGGCCTTCCATGAGGGGACTGCTGGATTTTAGTGTGATGTGATTTATACCTCCTTCCAGAGGGTTGATCAGGTAGAAATTCCCATTCTTTGTTTATATGACAAATGAGGTCACTGACTACTGTCCTACTGGACTCCCTTAAGTTCCACAAAAAGAATGGAGTAGTCTGCAGGTAACAGTGGATATTCCTTCTGGGGAAATTCTGGGAAGGGCTGTCAGGGAAGGCACTGATGACAGTATCCTGTTCTGCCTTGCAATTGAATTATTTCACCCAACACAGGCCAATACTAGGCATTATCCTTGATTACTTTTTCCCTCATTCTTCACATCTACTCCCATTGACTTTTTAAAAAAATTTAATCTTTATTGTATGTTATTTCCATTACTATTTAGCCTCCTTACACCCCTCTCTCCCCGAGCATTCACCACACTGTTGTTCGTGTCCATGAGTTTTTTACATTTTTGCTCAATCCCTCCACCCCCTAACTGCCCCCCTCACTAGCTGTCATCTGTTCTCATTTATGAGTCTGACTCCATTTTCCTTTTTAGTCCTGTTTGTTAGATTCCACATATAAATGGAATCATATGGTATTTGTCTTTCTCTAACTGGCTTAGTTCACTTAACACAATGTTCTCCAGGTCCATCCATACTGTTGCAAAGGGTACAATTTTCTTCTTCTTTTCTTTACGGCTGAGTAGTATTTCACTGTGTAAATGTCCCACAGTTGTTTTATATCACATCTATTGATGGGCACTTGGGTTGCTTCCATATCTTGGTGATTGTAAATAACACTGCAATGAACATAGCAGTGCTTATGTTCTTTCAAATAAGTGTTTTGGTTTCCTTTGGATATATTCCCAGAAGTGGGAGAGCTGGGTCAAAAGGCAGATCCATTTTTAATTTTTTGAGGTATCTCCATACTGCTTTCCACAGTGGCTGCACCAATCTGCAGTCCCACCAACAGTGCAAAAGGGTTCCCTTTTCTCCACATCCTTGCCAGCACTTGTTGATTTATTGATGACAGCCATTCTCACAGGTGTGAGATGGCATCTCATTGTAGTTTTAAATTGCATTTCTCTGATGATTAGTGACATTGAGCATCTTTTCATGTCTGTTGGCCATCTGCATGTCCTCTTTGGAGACATGTCTATTTAGCTCCTTTGCCCAATTTTAATTGGATTGTTTGATTTTTTGGTGTTAAGTTTTGTAAGCACTTTGTAAATTTTGGATATTAACCCCTTATCTGATGTATTGGCAAATATGTTCTCCCATTCTGTGGGTTGTCTGTTTATTTTTTTATGATTTCCTTCATTTTACAAAAGACTTTTAGTTTGATCAAGTTCCATTTGTTTATTTTTTCTTTGTTTCCCTTGCCTGGGGAGATACATCCAATAAATTTCTATGAGCAATGTCTGAAATTTTGCTGCCTATGTTTTCTTTTAGGATTTTTATGATTTTGGGTCTAACATTTAAGTCTTTGATCCATTTTTAGTTTATTCTTGTGTGTGATGAAGCAGGTGGTCTAGTTTCATTTTTCTGCATGTATCTGTCCAATTTTCCCAACACCATTTATTGAACAAACTATCTTTAGCCCACTGTATGTGCTTGCTTCCTCTGTTTAATATTAATTGACTATAAAGGTGTTGGTTTATTTCTGGTCTCTCTATTCTGTTCCGTTGATCTATGTGTCTGTTTTTATGCCAGTACCAAGGTGTTTTGATTGTGGCCTTGTTGTATAGTTTGATATTAGGTAGCACGATTCCTCCAACTTTGTTCTTCTTTCTCAGGATCACTGCAGCTTTGCCAGGCCTTTTGTGGTTCCATATAAATTTTTGAAAGATTTCTCCTAGTTCTGTGAAATATGTCATTAGAATCTTGATAAAAATTGCATTGAATCTATAGATTGCTTTGGGTTGTATGGACATTTTATTGACATTAATTCTTCCTATCCATGAACACAGTATGTGTTTCCATTTATTTGTATCTTCTTCAGTTTCTTTCCTCAGTGTCTTATAATTTTCTGAGTACAGGTGTTTTACCTCCTTGGTTAGGCTTATTCCTAGGTATTTTATTCCTTTTGAAGCAATTGTGAATGGGATTGTTTACTTAATTTCCCTTTCCGTTAGCTCGTTATTGGCATATAAATGCAACTGATTTCTGGATATTAATTTTGCATTCTGCTACTTGGCTGAATTCGTTTATTGGATCTAGTAGTTTATTGGTGGAATCTTTGGGGTTCTCTCTGTACAGTATCATGTCATCTACAAATAAAGACAGGTTTACTTCTTCCTTTCCAATTTTGATGCCTTTTATTTCTTCTTTTTGCCTGATTGCTATGGCTAGGACTTCCAGTACTATTATGAATAAGAAAGGTGAAAGCAGACATCCCTGTCTTGTTCCCAGTCTTCAAGGGAATGCTTGTAGTTTTTGCACATTGAGTATGATCCTGGCAGTGGCTTTGTCATATATGGTCTTTATTATGCTTAAGTATGTTCTCTCTATTCCCACTTTGCTGAGAGCTTTGATCATAAATGGGTACCGGATTTTATCAAAAGCTTTTTCTGCATCTATTGATATGATCATGTGATTTTTATACTTCATTTTGTTTATGTGGTGAATCATATTTATTGACTTACAAATATTGTGCCAAACTTGCATTCCCAGAATAAATCCCACTTGATCATGGTGTATGATCTTTCTGATGCATTATTGTATTCGGTTTGCTAATTTGTTGAGGATTTAAGTATCTATGTTCATCAGTGATATTGGTCTATAATTTTCTTTCTTTGTAGTGTCTTTATCTCATTTTGGAGTTAGGATAATGTTGGCCTCATAAAATGAGTTTGGGAGACTTCCCTCCTCTTGAATTTTATGAAATAGTTTGAGAAGGAGAGGTGTTACTTCTTCAGAATATTTGGTAAAATTCACCTGTGAAGCTATCTGGTCCTGGGCTTTTGTTTGTTGGGAGTTTGTTGATAACTGAATTTCATTAGGTGTAATCTGTCTATTCAGACTCTCTGATTCTTCATGATTAATTTGGAAGATTGTATGTTTTAGGAATGTATCCAGTTCATTTAGGTCATCGAGTTTGCTGGCATACAGTTGTTCATAATATTTTCTAATACTTTGTATTCCTTTGGTGTTAGTTGTTACATCTCCTTTTTCATTTCTGATTTTATTTATTTGGGTCCTTTCTCTTTTTTTCTTGATGGGTGTGGTTAAATGTATGTCAATCTCGTTTATCTTACAAAGAACCGGCTCTTGGGTTCATTGATTTTTTGTATATCTTTTAGACTCTATTTCATTTATTTCTGCTCTAATCTTCATTATTTCCTTCCTTCTACTCACTTTGGGCTTTGTTTTTCTTTCTCAAGTTCCTTTAAGAGTGAAGTTAGATAATTTTATTGAGTTTCTTCTTTTTTAAAGTATATTTTATTGATTATTGCTATTACGGCTGTCCCAATTTTTTCCCCTTTGTCCTCCTCTGCCCAGTACCCCCTTCCCTTCAGCAATCCACCCCTTAGTTCATGTCAATGGGTTGTGCATATAAGTCCTTTGGCTTCTCCATTTCTTATACTATTCTTCACATCCCCCTGCCTATTTTGTACCTACCAATTATGCTTCTTAATCTCTGAACCTTTTGGACCCCATATTTTTCAGGGGGAACCTTGTGGCCACTTAAATATCCCTCCAGCACTTCAGCTGCTGCTCATGGAAGCCCAGCCAGTCTCTCCCATCTCTTCTGCACTCCCTACCAGTCATGTTGTCGTGAAGTGGTTTCTTTTGTCTGTCTGGTTAGAAGGCTTCTGTCCAGCAAGTGTTAAGTTGGTTATTCTGGATGATTTTTCTACAATTTATTTGTAATTCCAGATTGGTCTTGGGAGGAGGTTAGTGTAGCTTCCACTTATTCCTCTGCTATCCGGGATCCAACCCTATCCAAAGAATACTCCCATTGATTTTAGCTCCAAAACACACTCCAAATCCACATCTACTACCACTACCCTCCTCTAAGCCACCATCATTTACCTGAACTACAATAATAGACTCTTGCATGTCTGCCTGCTCTCACACTTGTCCCCACAAGTCATTGCCTAAAATGTTCTTTCTCTGTTGGTCCCATGGCTGATTTATTCTTGCCATTCAAATCTCAGCTTAAATGTCACCTCCTATAAAGATGACTTTACTGACATTTTAATCTAGGCAGGCCACCCAGTTAATTTTGAGGATATCACTAATAATGCTCCACACAGCACCTACCACTTCTCCATCTGAGACGTCTCTTACTCATTCATTGTCTTCTCCCCACTGGAATGTATGTTCCAGGACAGCAGGGACCTTACCTAGCTGGAGCTCTGTATCCCTGGGATCTAGAACTGTGTTTAGCATAATGTCGGTGTCCAGTATTTGTTGAATTAATTATAAAGAGAACAGCCTTGTTGAAACAGATGGTTTCCCGTGGGGAAAAAACCAGAGGATGGGTAAGTAGAATGTTGCTAAAATGTGGAGGGCTTTGAATACCAGATTAAAGGTGTTTAGCTTTAATCTGATATAAAGCAGTGAGGGATTTGGGGGAGGGTGTAGAAAAGTGACATGATGAAATATGAAAAATTTTTAGGAAAATTACTCTGGTGGTGGTTAAAATGGATTTGAGTAGGGAGAGACTAGTCACAGAAATAATAGCATCTAAGAGGTTGTTAAAATACTCTACAGGTGAGAAGTTAAGGATTAGATTAGAGGGGTAGTACAGGAAATGGAAGTGAATGGCTGGGTGTGAAGGGCACGGTTAGAATTGGGACAAGAGAAACGAAAGGAGGTGACAGTTCAAAAACAATTACCAGGTTTCAAGTCTAAAAGAGTAAGGAACACATTGTACTTCATATAGTATCTTTCTGCCCTCTTTTCCCTGTTCTAGAAATACTGAGCTTCTCTCATTCTGGTCTGCATCGGAGCCTCTTCTCTGCATCAGGAACTTCTCTGTCTGTTCCCTAGTATACTTCAGTCTCATCCATCCTTGTCTAGCTAACACCCACTTGGCTTACTGTCTCTATCAGCATGTCACTTCTTCCAGGAAGTCTGTCCTGAATCCCAGCCTAGACTGGAATCCTCCTCCTGTTAATACGGTTAGTTCTATAATGTATGACATTTCCTGTAGCACCTATTGTGCCTCTAATTATATTTTTAATGCCTGACTTCATTGCTAGACTGTAAACTCCATGGGGAAAGGTGCCATGTTTTTCTTTCTTGGTGACCACATGCACAGTCCTAAAAGAGTGTCTGACACAAAGCACTCAATAAATGGTTATTTTATTGCTCAGCTGACTCACTGACTTCATGGAAATAAGAAAAGGAGAAGAAAGTGTTGGTTTTGAAGCAAATATGGTATGTTTGCTTGTTTGGTTTTGGACATGTTGAGCACAAGATGACGAGTCCAGAAGAGAAGTTCTATGTATGTTTGAAGCTAGGTGAGTAGAACTCTTATTCACAAGCAATTACTTGTTCAATTGTACACATAGAGCAAAAAAATAGACACTCATCTCACATTTATAGTAAAGTGTTTTAAAGAACTGTCAGCCGAATTTATCCTTGCTTTTTATCATATTTTTACTTAGAAAAGTAATTTGTTTTCAGGGGTGTCCAACATTTTGGTGTCTCTGGGCCACACTGGAATAAGAAGAGGTGTCTTGGGTCCCACATTAAACTAATGGAAACTGATGAGCAAAAAAAGGTTTTAAGTCAATTTATGATTTTGTATTGGGCCGCATTCACAACCATGCTAGGCCACATGTGGCCTGTGGGTAGTAGGTTGGACAACCCTGGGCCTTAAATGATTAAAATGTTTATTTCTTTGAATATTTTTTCATTATAACTACATATCAGCATAGCTATGTCAAAGGTTTACCAAGAATGCATGAATCACTTTTTTATTCCTAGAAATAACCATAATGCTTTAAATTACTGTGAATCTAGCAATTTTGTTGAGTTTAAAACCTATTCCCTAAATTATAGCTCAAAGCTTCAAAGCACAAATGTGTAAAGCATTTCATTAAATAAAATTTTATTATTACATGACAAATCATTGTCTTTTAGCATACATTCTAAAAAAAGGACAGTGTGATACAACATTCTTGTCACCATAGTACATAGGAAGGTTCTATATGATGATTAATTAAAGGTCTCTGGTGGGAATTCTGGTGACTTATTAACAGGTATGGAGACTAAAATTTATAAGCAATTTTAATTCTAATGAAAGTGAAACCTACATTTTCCATTCATGTTTTAGCTTCTCCTGCCAGATCAGGAGTTAAAAGCTAACCATCTATGGGCCCAACAGAGCCCCCTAGATGTGTTTTGTTCAGCTTAACGTTGTCCCAAAATTTGTTCTTGCCTTTAGGCAATGATTGTTCTCTCCAGTTCTGCCGTCTGGTTTGACCACAGTTCATACCATTCTCTGTCACACACTGGCCTGCCTGGCTTCTATGTATAATCAACCCAAGTAACAGTATAAAATGGAGATAGATTTCATTGTATTGCAAAACTGTCACTTTATATAATCCGTCTGAGAGTGGCTTTTCAACTAAGAGAATATCATATCCTTTTAGATTGAAATTTATAACATAAAAATTTCCTAGACTGAATCCAGTAATACCTGACATTTGTTAGTGCTTAAGGTTTAGAAAGCAGTTAACTATATTTGTCTCATTTGATTTAGCTAGGGCATGGGGTAGGTATTTAACACTGAGACAGATTCTAACAGTATGACAACACCCTGGGAAGTAAGTTGGCCATTCTGGAAATGTATATGAACTCTTTAGACCCATGAAAATATCCTGTTCACTGAAGCAGTAATGTGCTTGGTGGTATGGTGCAGCAGTGATTGGCTAAAGGTGCTCTCTTGAGCACCCAATCCCAAATCACCTAGTGATGACTCCTGCATGGACAGGGAAGGAACCATCTCCTCCCTGGAGATGTTTTCAAGCAAAGGTTGTTTCTGTTTTCCCTCTCTGCTTGTGTTTCTTAAAAATTAACACATTTGACTTTTTCCTACACAGCATTCAGATAAAATCTAAGTGGGTCATGACTAAATAAGATAAAGTAAGATTTATTTCCCCTTGTACTTCCAGCAAATAGATTGATCTCCACTTCAAATTCTGTGTTTATAGCTGAAACTTTTCATAGTACAATTTTTGAGAATGCTCTAAATTTGGAAAATATAATGACCTTGGCTAGTGGGAAAGAATTAATTTAGTTTCCCCTAATTAGAACTAACTCCATTTTGCATGTAATACTATACTTCACAATTTTATCCAGAGCTTAAAGACTGGTTGGCTGATGCTGTACCACTAATTTTGATAAGTGCATATTTCAGAAAGCTATCACAATACCATGAATCTCCTCTAAGAAATTGTAGTTCTTAGTTTCACACTATTCCTAAAATTGTTAAATGTGTTCATGTCTTCTGCTTCTTTTATAGCACCCAAGTGTCTAATCTAATGTATTTCATTCAGTAGCTGCTTAAGAAATCCTTGTTGAATTAAACAGTCTAAACTTTACATGCATTTATGCTGATGCATTAATATCAACTCTGAATTTGGAACCGTATTAATAATGAAATCTCTTCCTAGCTAGCAATAACTTATCAATTTTGTCTGTCATCTACTCATTTATTTGCAAATGTCTTATTTGCAATTTTAAGAACTATTCATAGTTTGCAAGGGCAATTCAATTCACAAAATAATGAAGTCAGTGATATAAAATTTCATTTATAGTGAATTGCTGGACAATAGTATGTAATTTTGTTTGCTAACCATAGAGGTGATTAGAATTAGTAGCAGAAAGAGAAGAATCAAGTCTCTGGGCCAGATCTCCTTCCAGGCGTTTAGAAACCTAATGAATTAAATCATTGCCTACAGTCTATCTGGTATGTTTTAAGGAGAAATGCTACAACCATAAACTATTACTCTGCATATACATTACCACTTCTTAGAAAGGATCTCCGTGACTGTCCTCCATTGAGCGGAGGTAAGGTCTTCTTTTCAGGGCTGACAAATGTATCCCATTTCACCTTGTCACAGCCGCCTAGTTCCTTTACTTTCTGTAAACAACTTTCCAAGTACTCTACTGGGTCTTCAGGCTTAGAACACATCAGTCCATTCAAAAGGCTCTGAAACACAACAAAATGTGCCCACATACATTTTAAAACCACCTCTGTTAAAATATTCTATGTCCCATTTCTAAATTCTCTATTATTTTTGTTCTTTGCATTTGTCTTTTAACAATTAGAGCTGTAATTATGATCTAATTTACTAAGATAACCCCTTACATTTTTAACCAATTAGTTCTCGGCTCAGTATTTTTGCTTTTTAAACAATTTGGGTAAGTGAATCATTTTAAAAACAGACCAGTTCCATCAAATGAGGTAAAGTGCAGTGTGTAACAATGGTCCAGTCATTATTGATCTCATTCTTACCCATCCTTAAAGTCTCTAAGCCTCAGTTTCTTCCTGTGTCAAATGGAAGTAATACCTACCTCAGAGGGTTTTTAAGGACTAAAAATTTAATATTTGTAAAATACATATTAAGTGCTTGGCCCATACGAAGTGCTCAGTAAATGCTGTTTTAGTTAATATTATTATCAATATAAGGAAATATCCCGAGTCCAGGTTGGCTTGTAGAATTATTCTTCTGTGTTCCCATGATACTCAGAAAAAAATCTTACCTGTCGTTTACACTAAAATCATTGGTTTACATGTCAGTCTCCTCATTTAAACTATAAACCTTTTACAACACAGTGTAGGTCTGATTTAGTTTTCAATCTCCAACCCCTGACTCTTTCCCTGGCACATGGTAGGTGTATATTGAATAGTTTTCAAATTAGGGAAAACATTTCATTCAAAACATAAAGTCTGAGACTAAAATAAAAATGTTATTTGACCCTGGCTGGCATAGCTCAGTGGATTGAGCGCGGGCTGCGAACCAAAGTGTTGCAGGTTTGATTCCCAGCCAGGGTACATGCCTTGTTTGCAGGCCATAACCCCCAGCAACCGCACACTGATGTTTCTTTCTCTCTCTCTCTTTCTCCCTCCCTTCCCTATCTGAAAATAAATAAAATCTTAAAAAAATGTTATTTGATATATAATGTCACTGTAAGATCCGCTGAGGTTACAGAGTGGGGAGAAAAAGCACAGTCCTGTATTGCTTTTTCTGTTCCTGGTGTCTGATGTATCACATGTACTAGTTTCTAAAAATGCTACAAATGGGGAAATGCTGACTCCTGGGAACTGGACTGGTGCAAAATATTTTCCTTTAGAGTACTTCATGGAAAAAGAACTTGAGATTATTATCACCAAGGTACATTATTAATGGCACAAAACATACACACTTTGAAAAGCTGACACCTTTCCTAAGTGCAGTGTTTTACTGTCAAATTATTCTTGTGCAACTTGCTCAAAATGGTAAGAAATCCTAACTAGATACATTTGTTCTCCAAAATCCTAAATAGTGTGGGCTATAGTGTTCAATCAAAAAAGTTCAATGGCAGATGGAGGGAAAAAACTAATTTGGGCATCCACCTCCAGTCTGTGTGTTAAAATCCGCTCTACACACATACACACATACACACATACACATTGTATTTAAATTCTCCCACTCCTCTATGTTAACATAGTGAATTCTGAGACAGTGCTTACTCTGTGTTTCTGCATGCATTAGCTCACCCAAAGCACTCTCAACCAACCCTATGCAGCATTATTATCCCTGTTTTACAGATTAGGAAATCATGATTCAGAGAGGTTAGTAAGTTATCAAGGTTCTTCACCTAGGAATCACAGGCCCAGGATTCCAACTCAATGTTTATGATTCAAAAACCCATATACTCCTTTCTCTATATCTTACAAAAATATGATATGGGATGAAAACAAAATGCCAGATTATCTGTGCCCCATGCATAATCCAACTACAATATGAATCATTTGAGATTTGGTCTATTATTTTTTTATCCTTATTATGGCCTAAAATGGGTAAATTTACTCAATGAAGTTTTATTGTTATTATTGTTTTTAGTGGGAAATATACATTTCCAGCCTCTTTAAACAAAACTGATTCCCCACAGGGTATTGATTTTAGAATGGGGAGGAAGAGTTTTACTCCTTCATGGATAATTTAAATCCTTTTGTATAGTAGCCAGCCACCATCACAGGTCCAAGATAACCAGCAAATAATATTGTTCAGTCTCTTTGAGTTAATTGTTTCATAAATACCTAATTGTTAAACTTGATACCTAAAAACTCTGTATATCTATACTGTAGGTTTTTTAAAACATTTTATTTATTTAGTTTTAGAGAGAGGGGAAGGGAGGGAGAAAGAATGGGAGAGAAACATCAGTGTGTGGTTGCCTCTAGAACACCCTCTTACTGGGGACCTGATCCACAACCCAGGCATATGCCCTGACTGGCAATTGAACCTGTGACCCTTTGTTTTCCAGGCCAGAGCACAATCCACGGGGCCACACTAGCCAGGGCTATACTGTAGTTTTTAAGACAGGAAATTCATTTTTGGAAACTTAAAGCATGTGGTTTTGCTGTCCACACTCATCACATGGAGGAGGGCCAGGTTTTACTTTTGCCACTGCTGTGCACAGCACAGATTCTTTTTGCTGGAGGCCTTTGGAGGTCACCAGCAGTCTTCTTTCGTCTTCCATTGTCCAGGGCTCCATTTAAGTACATGGTATTACTGCATTTCTCGTAAGTGAGCTTCCTCCTTTTCTCAGTGTGAGCTACTTTAGAATGTCTCATTCATATGCAGAAAAGACAAGGAAAGGAAAGCATAGCACCTGAACAACAACAAAACCCTGCCATTACTTATTTGCATACCAAATGTAGATTTACATGAACAAACTATCAAAATTCTCTGTGGTTACCGCCCACCACGGAGGAAAAGCAATACCCACATTTACTTATAAAGAGCACTTTACAATCAGGTGAGTCTCTTGCAGATGTTTCTATTTATTCTTTTAGAAGTGTTGGAATGAAATTGATCTCAGTAGTAGTATTTATGACAAATACCTTAAACTCTTCTTTTCCTTATTTACTTTTTGAAAATAAAAGAAAAAGAAAAAGTAAAATTCTTAACCAGAAGCCTACATATCCCCAACACGTGTCCTTACACAACACCTTCGGGTTATTTTCAGGCAAGAGCAACACACTCGCTAGGTTTTGAGCTTCACATACCAGGCTTGTGTTAAGCGGACGGTTCACCTGGAAATCTTGGCTTCAGATGGATCTAACAACGGTGGCTTACAGAGGTGAACAAAAAAATGAAGATCTGTAATTATGGCGGCCTACTTTAAATAATTTGGAGAACAGAAGCAAAATTATTTTCCCAAGTGGTGTTTTAAAAATGTCTTTTAATAGAAGGAACCCCTCCAAACAGTAAAAAGGGCAACTCAGGACCTTTAGTTAACTCTATCAGTCTACAGTTATCATCATTCAGAAATGGGGGTGGGGCGGGGCAAGGTTTGCAGTGAATGGATTTCTCCTTTCAGGACTCGCGCTATGAAGCTTGGCTCAGTTCCATTCTTTTTCTTCCTTTTTTTTTTTTTTACCCAAGCAAATTTTTAAAATTCAAATACGGAGAGAGAGAGAAGGAAAAGGAAGCAAAACGATCCTCAACAAAGACGGCGGTTTAGAAGTAACCAAGGTTCCTCTAGTTCCTCCAGGCTCCCCTTCCACATTCTCCAAGTATCCCCACCCCCGCTGCCTCCCGGCCCCTGGTGCAGAAGCTGCTGTGATGCGGTCTGAAGACACAGCAACAGGAGACACGCCCGCCTCGCAGCCCCTCTCCGACTAGTGTTCCCAGAGGGGTTGGAGAGGGCTGGCGAAAGCTGCAGCCGGGGAGGCAACGAAGAGAACCCTCCCTTCCAAGGAGACGGAAAAACGTGCTCAGGAGTTCATTCGCCGAAAGCGCAGAGCAGCGCTGGCTGCCTGCCACCCTGGAGGTAGCGCGGCACCACATGGGTTTGGATTTGTTTTTGCATCTTCATCCTTCTCCTCCAAGCTGTCCCCGGCGAGAGCTGCTCTCGTCCACTCCTCCCTTCACTGTGGGGACCCCGACCCCTCGACGCACGGAAGCTAGGGCTCGGTACCCCTCAGTTTCGAGACCTGCCTCGCTGCTGGGCGCCAGCGTCCCCACCTGGCCTGGCCCTCACCTCCAGAGAGAACTACCGGCCACCGCCTGTAGCCCACCCAGGGTGCCCACTTCCGAGCAGTGCAGCTTGCTTCCAAACCCGCTGGAAGACTGAAACTTGATCTGGGAGATGCGGGCTTCTGAGCCCAGCCAAAGGACGAGGAAGGACCCGGCAACTCCTAGGAAGGGCGGCTACCCTCCGGGCGAGCGGGAGGGCTCGCTTCTGCCAGTCCCTTCACTTCCATGCCCCATGTCCGCAAGGTGGGACAGGGTGCGGCTTCCTCACGCCGAACCTCCGAGATGCACTCCCCGATCCTCCACGATCCTCCCCATCCTCCGTCCCTCTGCCAGTCTTAGCCCCTTACCTCAAAAAGCAGCGGGATTTCCCTACGGGCCAGATATTCCTTGGCATCGTTGGTGTTCATGGCTGTGCGGCCGTGGCTTGTGCTTGGGCGCCGGAGGGGAGGCTTCCGGGCTGCGGCTACCTGGGCTGGGACGGCGGCTCCGCGCTGAGGGTGGCGGGGTTTGCGCCGAGCAAGGTGCAGCCGCCGTTCTCAGGCGCAAGCACAGGCGCAGCCCTGCCCTTCCAGGCCAGGGACCCCTCCGCCTCTCTGCTGGGGCTGTGGTCTCTGCGCTCCCTCCGCCTCCGCCTAGGTTCTGGCCCCGCACCGGGGCTGCGCGCTTGGAGTAGCGGTTTCCAGGACTCGAAGGCAGCGTGGCTGCCAGGGGAGGGGTGGAAGGAGTGGAGGAGGGAGGACAGAGTGGCGGCGGCACGGCACGGCAGCAGCCCGCCCGCCTCTACCGCTCAGCACGCGGCGCTCTGCGCCTGCCGGAGCCCAGTCTGCCGCTGCGGTCAGCCAGGCTGCACGGGCGGACGGGGTGCGGGGGTGGGCACCAGCGCACTCTACGGGCTCCCAGTCACACCCCCCAGGGCCTCCCGGGGAGGCAGCAGCCTGGGACCTAGTGACCAAAGGAAGCGTCGGGGGCTCTAGGGACCTGCGACCTTTCCTCCTTACCTTCGTCTCCACATACACCTCCGCACATCCCACCCACACCCCCAGTTACTCATGCGTCCCTAAGGAACTCCCGGGAAGAAACCTAATTGTCGCATAGTTTACTGTTTATTCGTAAGATCACGATCTTTCATAATAGGAAGTGGGAATAAGGAGGGAAGGAGGACATCGAGGTGTGGAATCCATATCCTTAAGATAAGTTTTAGATCTTGAGTATTTCTATCCTTCAGGAAAGTTTTGCTAGCTGGTTTCGAATTTTTTTTTTTTTACCCGTTGGTGTCACAAATCCTTACAGATTTCAGTATAAGGCCTTAGAGTAGCCTGAAATCTTCGTTAACAGAAGAATTTGTAAGGAGCCAACTAGTAGATTACCTCCACAGAGAAGGTAGAGGATAAAAGTGGATTGATGGTGGAGAGCCCGAGACCGCTGAAACTGGAACTGTGACTAGTAGGTGGGGTGGGTGGCATCGTTAATTAGATCTGAGCAGTGGGCCATCGGAGCACCCCAGGGTGAGTACCGGTGGGAGCATTAAGGCAGTAATGTAGGTAAAGGAACTTTACCTTATTGCACACCATCATCACGACGTAGCCATCTTCCTCCTACCTCCCAAGATGGCTCATCCCCTCCATTAAGATATCTTTTCGTTGGCTGTTTGAAAGATGGTCCATGCCGCCCTGAGAATATGGTCTTTTTCTGTGAGCAATGCTGACTCTGCGGGAGGGCGAGTGAGAGGCAAGGAGGCTCTGATAGGAACGGAAGTCTGGGGTCTGGCCGGAGGGAGAAGCAATGCTGCGACCTTTTCCAAAACTCAGTGTCTGGATGTCCATTTCAAGTTCACTTTGCAGATTTTTCTTGGTTCTGTTTCTCCTCGTGCAAACATCTGCTTCTCAAGCCTCCACTCTAGCTGTGGTTTTGTTTTACCCAAGGGAGGAAAGTCAAGAATTAACTGAGTTTTGTGAAGGAAATGAAATTTTTCTGAGCACTTGTGAAACCATGTGGCATGTGACAGTCTTAAATGGGGCAGGTGCTCCAGTTCCAGGGAAATGGGTCCCTGCCCTCAGAATATGCCACAGCACTCATAGTCCCAACTTCCATTTCTCTGTTCATGGTAAGTAGTGAAAGCATGGTCTCTTTCCTGTGCAACTGCACTTGAAAAGTACCAGTGTCCGTGGCACGAAGGCTTACTTTGTGAACAGGCACAGCTGACGTGCAGCACTTAAGACTGAAGAGGCCACTTTCTGCAGGACCTTTCAAGGTCATCCTTTACAAAAAAGAACCTGGTAGAGCTTAGCTCACCTCCTGCCTGCTGGGGAGGAATATATCCTGAGTGGATATGTGACTCTAAATGCACATCAGTGTAGTCAAGCAAGAATGGCAACTTGTACAATGAAAGTAGGTAAGAAAGACTGCATTGCACTAAATATTCCAGATAGCCTGAAAAATACAGTGACGGGAGACATGGCAGGTTTTCAGGTAGCCTTGTATACTGACAATCAGTACTTTTTTGGTGTGTTTCAGATGTATGGAAGAAGCTAGATGTTCCTAATTACTTTTGCAAAGGGAGTGGTGGCCTGGTAGAGAAAGGATACATGATACAAGAAAGGGAAGAGAAAGGACAAGGAACAACAAATATACCCTTGCCACAGGAAAGCTGGCCCATTACTCACTGATAGGAATTTCTAAGGATGCGTGTGTAGAGGGCTCATGGCCCTTTGGCCTTTGTTTACTTGGGGATGCATTCCTGCAAGTGCTAACCAATCATGATGATTGCTTCATGTCTGGTGTGTCCACATGGAATCTTCTCTGCCCCCGTGTTGGGAGAGTGTGTGGGTTCTGAGATACAGCAGTGAGTAAGACAGACATGATCCCTGCTGTTAAGGAACTTCTGTTCTGTTGGAGAGTGCTCATGACAAGTGCAGATGGACAATAAGCAAACGAAAATGCATAAACAACATCAGATAGAGATAAGTGAAAGGCAAATAAACAATTAAAAAATACCCCCCAAGAGATAAGAACATATCAGATAGTGATTGATCTAATGATGAAAATCAAACAGACTTAGTTGTTGATGTGAAGCAGAGAGGCGGGGTTCAGATTTGTTTGCTGAAAGTGGCAGAGGAAGTGGGAATGGGGATAACCATTGGGACAATAACTAGAACTTTCCGAAGACATCTTTGAGGAGGAGGCTCTCGGTGGGAATGTTTCTCTTGATGACTCCTAAAGAGGACTCACTGCTGACATACAAGCTATGTGTGTCTCAGCAAAGGGCCTAACTTGCTCTGTCCCAGTTAATCAAGTGTCTATGGATAAGGATCATGCTCCATCCACACAAAGAAGGCTCAAGGGCTCCATACCCAGGACAGCACTTCCCAAACCCCACAGATGGCTGGAGCCTGTGCTTAGACCCTCATCTACTCCTAACAGATGTGTATGCTATCTGTAATTTAACTGGGGCCAGTTTACCTATAGGAACTTTTAGCAAGAGTGCAAATGTTTCTCATGTTGCAATTCTTTCCCCCAGGAGAGGAGCCCAATGGGATCAAGTGTAGGTACTGGTACGGTTGATGGTAATGACGTGATGACAGGTTTGGTTATTATACAAGATAAAAATATATTGAGTGTTTTTTTGTGAGTCAAGCACTGTGATAAACACTTTATAAAATACACTACATATTTATATACTCATGTCGTATTTAATTCTTAATCAGTCTGTAAGATATGTATCATTCTCATTATATAAATGAAATGACTCAGACTCAGAGAGTCTAATTTCAAGGTCATACTAATAGTGTTGGCCCACCTGCAAAACCCTATGCATCCTCCTCTCTAGGACATCATCATCATAATGCGTTTCAAGTTCACAAAGTCCCATAAGAATATTATCTGTGTACCTTTCAGTGTTTTCTAAGGGTCCTTCTATTCTTCCTTTTCTATTTCCTTCTTTTTTTCAACAGATGTCATTTTGCGTTTGGGTTGTGTATATTATTTAAAATGCAAGTACAACAAACCATGTATAAGAACAAGTTTATCTCAGTAGATTTTCTAACTGTTCAAGGTCTTTTTCTGTTTGAAAGTTTTCACTTGGTTCAGAGGATGAATAGACAACACAACATTCCTATTTATTGAATTCTTGAGAGTTGACTTTTTCTCATTTAGCACAAAAACTCAGTATCGCCCTCCTAATTATCCTATTTCCCTCACTAATTGATAACCTACATATCCTGCATATCCTGGGCAATTTGTAAATATTTTGTTTACCCAACAGAAAACTAAACATATAAGACTTTCCATGGGTGTATATATTGTCCGGATAAATATGTCCCTTGTTCACATGTATCCTTTTTAGAAGGTCTTTCTGAGGCTTTTAATTTTCTGTTAGTGTGGAGTGCACTCATTGGTCTGTAAAATCCAGGGGAAATGCAGGCTGAAATAATCGTGTGTAACACAGCTCTTTAGCCAGAGCAGAGTTCCCCTGTGCTCCATTGCCACATGCTGGCTGAGTGGCTGAGCCAGACACTTGGATTCTGGATATCAAAGACCTGTAGGAATTCTTGAGTTAGATGGAGTTAGAGGTCAAAGATTTTAAACTCTCTCCTAATATCTGAAAGCATTAGGAAAATTTCGAAGTATGTAATAATATATACTAAGAATAGCTAAGATTTGGAAAATACCATTTATTTATGTATCTATTTATTAATTAGTGCATTCATTAATCAAACAATTCTGAAATAACTTTTTAGATCTCAGGGCTGTGTCTGGAGTCGGGAATACAAACAACAAGAGTCAAGGGGTTCACTGTCTAGCAGGAAGAGATGGATTTGTAATAACTAAGTACAGATAAATATAATAATGTTTTAGTAATATGATAGAAGCAGATAATGTGGAGGAAGTTTGTTACAGGGGGACAGAAAGGTACATGAATCATATAAATATGTATATGGTAAAAACCATTTAGAGAGTTTTAAAAATAGATTTTCTTTCAATGTTTCTTCACTACCCTCCAAAAAATTATTTAGTTGTTAGCTGTTCTCCCTTCCAGTTCCCACCCTCACGCCCCCAATACATGGCTTTTGAAAAACATTGTCACACATAGTCACACACATTTCCATGTTCTATATTAGGTGTCCCCAACCCCAGCCTCCTGCTGTGCTGAACAGCAGGAGGTGAGTGGCAGGAGATGAGCAAAGCTTCAACTATATTTACAGCCACTCCCCATTGCTTGCATTACTGCCTGAGCTCCACTGCCTGTCAGACCAATGGCGGCATTAGATTCTCATAGGAGCGCAGGCCCTACTGTGAACTGCGCTTGTGTGGAATCTGGGTTGTGCCCTCCTGAGAGTCTAATGCCTGATGACCTGAGGCGGAGCTGAGGTGGTGATGCCAGCACTGGGGAAGTGGCTGCAAATGCAGATCATCATTAGCAGAGAGGTTTGACTGCACAGAGACCATGATAAATCAACTGCTTGCAGACTCACTTCAAAACCCTATCAGTGAGAGTGGCAAGTGAAAATTAAGCTGCATCTGGTGGCAGACTTTATAGTGGCAAGTTAGTGATGTACTTCAATTGTACAGGTATTCAATATATTTAGGCTTTAAGTCAGAATCCAACACTTATTTTAGTCTGCATGTGGCCTGCCCATTATTTTATTTACCACTTATCTACGCACCTCTTTCCCACACTGCACTTCTCTCAGTCACAGTTTTGGTAAGCCCACATGCTAACCCTAGCCAAAACGAGTGAAAAACAAACATCGCTGGCTCCCACCGATTCTGTGTTATGGTGAGTTGTATAATATGCTTGAATCATCCTGAAACCACCACCCCTCACCCTGGTCCATGGAAAAATTGTCTTCTAGTCCCTGGTTCCAAAAGACTGGGGAT